TAGAGCGCTGCACCGGTATCGCATAGGTCATGGGTTCAAATCCCGTACAGGCCTCAATTTTTTTTTCAGGCCTTATTTTCACTACTGCTCAAGTAGTGTTCATTACGATCACTTTCAAATTCACGTCTTTATCCGCAGTTCAAATATATGACTATCATATATTCACGGCTGTTTAACAGAAACGTTGTTCACATGCAATGTATATTCAATACTTGTTGGAAAATTGAGAGGAGTCAATAGTTTCGTCACTAGTCTATGGAGATAAAAGTCTTCATGTGAAATTGGATTGCTTACTGATTGATTAGTTCACGATAGATTTGTCATCGACAATTATCGGAAAACCACTCTTTGAAAACGAATTAAGCTTATGTGGCCCGAGTAAAAGATTTCAGCTTGTGGCATTTTAATCTGGGCAACGAGAAGTCATCGCCATGCAATTGATGTTGAATGAAGAACCATGTGCTCATAAAATGTTTTACATATATCATAAATCTCTCATTTACCATCTTTGTTATTTTTTTAACGTTAAGCAGAACTACGTATTACATACAATTCGATAAAATAGAGACGAACATTATTGCATTCATTTCGTTTTAATGCGGGATCTGTTACATGTGTGTAACTGGGGCAAATAACTAAATAACCTCCTACCTGGTAAAAATGTCCTCTCTTCAACCTAGTCTCATTTAGAGCCAGGCTTCACAAGCCGGTGTTAAGGTGTCACGAGCTGCTTTCTTTTTATAAATACAAACTTCCTCATTTCGCTTCGTCTCGAAAAGTAAATCAATGGATTAACAAGCGAGTTTAACATGATTTTATCGCTCCTAAAATTCCAATTTAGAAAGCAATGATCCAAAATACTAACACTGTCACATTGATGATAGTTTTAGTCATCATGTTTGAGCATTGCATCGTAAATTTGGTTGCTATGACCATCTCGAAAATGTATGCCTTCAACCTTCAGATGAAGGCATGAAGCAGCCATTGATATAAACATTACATCGAGATGAACTTTTTCAACTGTTTTACTGCTACTAAGACCCAGTAGTTGGAATGTCCTCCATAGAACGATGGCTGGCTAGGGACACCTGTCAATGCGTCAG